AATCCAGGAGACAATGTCATTGATGGGGTGCGGCTACAGACACAGAAGAGACAAAGCCTCTCTTGCTCTCCCACCCACCGGCCATCCAGCCCCTGCTGCCTAGCCTGGGCCCCCAACAGGCCACAAACTGCTCGAGTCCACATCCCTCCTTGCCTTATATTCTAAAACAAGTATATATGACCATTCCTGGTAGGAAAAAATTCTTGTAGACAATTAACATACTGAAGTAGTAAGTAACACTTTTTTATATATGCTTTTATTCTTACAGTGTGTCTGCACACGTGTGAAAGTGAGAGAGGTTAAGTACCCGCCACATGGTTTGGCACATCACAATCTACCTCCTCTGGTCCTCCAGGCTGTCAGGTCTTGGACACGCGGGCACATGCCTGGCTGGTTTCAGGGCTGACCGGGAGGGGGGTTCAAACTGAGTCGCCATGTGGGATCCAGCTTCTCCTGAATAGCACGTTGCGACTGCACTGTGGCGCTCACTCAGGAAATAATGTCTTATTTACTCAACTTCTCCATTTAAACTGCTCAATAGCAAAGCTTTAAGAATCTTACTTTAAGAATGATTACTGTTCCCAAGATTCAAACTTTTGCCCGCACTTCTTCAAATTCTCTCCTTCAAGGGTCAGCTCCTCTTATGACTTCTCACGCCTCCTCTGGTTGTAATGCCAAGCCCCTAATGCCTCCGGGGCTCCAGCCCAGCATCCCCACAGTGGCCTCCTGGAGCAGCTGCTCAAAGACTGAATCAGTTCTCCATCTCTGTTTCCACCTGCCTCGACACATCAGTCTGCCTAATCCCCTGGAGGACATGAAAGGCCCCCGGTAAGTGTGTGCTGTAGGAATGGACAAATGAACGGCATCAGGGATCCTTAGCCTCACTCAAGAGGCTGGGCATGGTGGATTCACCTCCAGGAATCCCAGCAGTACACTTCTATGCCTTCCCTCTTAAACACCACAGCACACTTTGGGCGAGTAACAGAGAAGAGATTAAAAATGTGGAGATTCCTTTCAG